AAAGTTACGACGACCGTTCTTACACTTGATTGTTGATATATTAAAAAATCATTCACTATATTCTTAATCATATTTTAATCTAAGAAAATTCCTATTTATTATGTGTTTTTATCTAATAATCTGGACTTACAACAATTGAAAGAACAATTTTTTTCTAAATGTTAATTACTTTTGATTAAGACCATTCTATAATATATCCAAAACATTCGGAATTTGGCAAGTTTGAATGAATTTTTTACCACGTTTCAAAATTCTTTACTTCCCAGAAAATCAACAATCCAGGGTAATCCGATATTTGTAAGACGATGACATTTTCTTCAATTTTAATATAGTCATATATGAGCCAATACATTTTTTAAAACTTATTGTATGTGAATTGTACATGCATCTAACTCTTCTAAAAGGCGCATTGCATAATACAATACGACTTGTTTACAAACGTCGGCACGTGTAAGTCGTTAAAACGATCACGTATGTACTATCGGTTTGGTGTACATTACTCGCTAGCAACCGTTGTAATCTCATAGTCGTTTTATCTGACGTTCACGCTAATGATACATTGAGGAAGAATCGTCATGTAGGTCAGGTTCAAGGTTGGCGGCATGTCTTATGTTTTACGAGGGTCAACGGGCGAAGGGGACGCTATGCCTATCACTGTTGCATTCACTTTTACTAGAATTTAATATAGTTTTCAAATGTTATGCTATTCTATCTATATGGCATATATAAAAGAAAGTTGTGTTAGTTACACTATTTATAACTTAACGGCTGTAGGGATATGGTTGAAAATTGGTGAAGAGATAGCTTAGAACATAGAAAGGATATAGGATTTTTATTTCAGTTCGATCAAAAATTCTTATATCTGTTTATTAATGCCCTCTTAGGCGAAATAGTTTGCCTGGATTACGAAGTGACGGATAAAAACAAGTTTGTTTAAAAATCTCTCTATGTAACCGTATTCTATGTAATTAGCGAATGTTTAAAAACTCTTATGAATATTAATAACGTTTTAAATCTACCACGCTCCGTGGCTTTGTTATGTTCGACCTTCACAGCGGTTTCCTTATGACACATGTAACGTCGCCTCGGTGCTAATTACGCGTTCAAAGAAATTATATATATTTGATTACGGATGCAACAAACTTACGTTGCTTTCTTGTAATTTGATGTATGGAATCTTATACTATATGGGAAAGAATGCTATTCCATCTATAATAATCATAACCTTATACTCTATCAAGTTTACTTATAAATTTAAATCTAATTAACTTTTTTTTTCTCTAAAAATGGGTTTTTAAATAAAAAAATATGTACGTACTCCAGATCGGACAATGTAGAGTTATTTAAGTTATATTTATAAAAATTCCATACTTTATTACGCTGTATGTCACGTTATTTATTAAATTAATTAATTATACATAAACATTCATAGAATAAATAAATTAAGTCAGTGGTAGTGGTTAAAGGCCCGACTCTCATGCATGAGGGCGCGGGTTCGATCCTGGCAACCAATGTGGTTTTCCGAGTCACATGTACTTTCTGAGAGTATTTAGACACCACTGACAGATGGTGAAGGAAAACATCGTGAGGAAACCTGGATTTATAATTTCACAATTATAAGTTCGAAATCACCAACCCGTCTGGAGCAAGCGTGGTGATTAATGCATTCCCAAAGAGAGTAGATGTCAGGCAGGCGGCCGGTCGTAAAAACAATTAGCCAAAACTATTTACAACATGTAAGACAGACAATGCTAAAACTGGGAAATTGTTAGGTAGAAGAATAAGATTCATAGAATAAATAAATGTTTCGTGGAAGTTTGATAAAATTTGTCAAAATGAATCTATAGATAATATAAAAAATTATTATTATGGATTGTATATGAAAATTAATAAATAATATTTAGTACATTTCATATATAGTAAATTACTCGCAGATTGACCGACGAAATGGATTTTATACCGGTCAAATTACATATTATCGAAGATGCGAGGCTGTAATGCAATGTGATTTTCGATTTATTGGAATAAACACTATCAAACGGTAATGTTTAGTTAACTAGTAGTTATTAGACGGACGGATACATGAACATTACTCGTGTTGTACGTTATATAGAAATTTAAACATATATATAAATATTTCTGTGTGTGTACGTGTGTATATGTGTGTATATATATTTACTTGAACTAATACTCTTCTTATCTATATTTGTCTTTCTATAAAATTAAAAATATGGTATAAAGTTATTTTATAAAATACAATTATTTTTTTGCTCCAACTCAGTATCCTTAGTCCTAGTTCTGGTTGATAACACTACGCACGGAGCGTCAACAGTTTCATTCATAACTCATCATTACTATTAGGTTAATGAATGAAAGAGAAACGCTTCGTGTGTTTTCGATCGAAAGTTGTAATAATCATAATGAGCTTTAAAAATGTTTCTGAGTTTAAAACGTGTTGCCAACCTATTACCTAAATAAGATAAAGTGACCTGAAATGCATGCAAAAATATTGTACTGCCACTGGATGCATTGCATGTGTTAGATTTTTGAAACATTTTACGTTTTCATTTTGTTTATGTATATATATAAATATATGTTATTTTTCTCTTATATGTCATAGTTTCATGTGGCAAAGTATGCCTACGATAAGTTTTCATTCGTCACGCTACCTACGAAGCTCTTCACGATTTTCATTAATGAGACTTCCCATAGTATCTGTTAGCGTTATACACTTACATACATGTTTGTAAAGAATATTGAATGTTATTTGTCAATCGAGAATCATTGAAGTTAGAGACGAAATCTCTTATCATTCCATGTATTCACTGTGAGGGTGTCGGGTCCATCGTTACAGAGAGGAGCTTCAACAGTGACTGTGACTTGCGTCTCAGGTGTAGGTTTAAGGGGCCCTACCTAAGGCGCTTTAAACGCTCAACTCATCTGTCTAAGCTCCTCTCTCTACCAAACCAAATTTGAAAAGAACCTACTCTGGCTGCCTTCAAAGTACATGCCAATAATGAATTGATATTAACTAGCTATTAATAAAAATGCATTAAATAAAAGATTTTGAATAAATCTACTTGATGAATATAATTGTAGTTTTTAAATCTATTCCAAACTAAATATACTATATAGATATCGGTTTCATACAATACTAGAATTGTACACAAATTAACCCTAACTATAAATCGATGGCCCCTAGCTTGTATCTCGGTTCGATTATATATCCTGATCTGCTTTGTGAACGACTGTGCCATTTTGTCCGCTCTGGCTTTGTGTTTTGTCCCAAATCCATCCCGGCATTAATTCCCGAACGGCACAACTGAACAACCAAATCTCTCTATTACGAACTTTCACGTTTGATCATACACTAATATATCACAATATTATTTTAAACTTACCAAGTTAATTATTAACTAACCTATGTTTCTTTAAAATAAGAAAAGTATGACACCTATCTTAAATATAAACAAGTCAAAACATTTTTCATATACAGAGTGTAGCTTGGATATGTAATTGTACAAAACCACATTTGTAAAACTTATACTTGCTAGTTGATTATAAGATTAATATAAGTTACCCAAAGAACAAGTCATTAATATTTTTAAAACAAATACAGCGACTACATCTCTCGCTGAAAACTACAACGTTTAGTCCCAGTTTACACTGCATACTGTAAGTTTCCCGTTTCTCATTCAATAACCATTGTTAATAATGTGCAACAAATTATGAATGAAAAATTATTGACGCTCCGTCTGTATTAACTGAATGAAATTTAAACCATTCGATTCTCTAAGTTAAAGACTAAACAAACAAATACGAACAAATTCTATTAATTATATTAAATGTTTATATAAGTATATATTAAAATTATTTTTTAATCCACACTCACAAATAAATTTATATTTAATTTCACAGTCAAAAGTAGCTTAAAATATAATTAATTCATGAGAATCATTATAAATGTATACTACTTTTGTTGTGTTTTATTTCACGCTTAATAAAATAGTATATATATATATATATATAAATGTATTTATGTATGCATTTGTAATAATTCATTATGTATTACGAACAATATATCTGGTAACTTCAAGTGTAGAATTTTCGTTGCGTAGCTGCTAATTATTATTTTATTATTATTGGAAACAATGCTTTATATATGTGTATATCTTTCAATGGTATTAATAATGTGCTACCTAAAAACTCACCTATCTTTCCTCTAATGTAAAATCAGTTCGGTATACTCTGAAAAGATCGCGGCAAAATAATACAGAAACTTATAACTTGATATGACAATATGTTAGTTTTAAATATAATATGTATGTGAACATATATTCAAACTTCATTAGTTCTCTCTCTTTGAGAGCTAACTTATACGAATGTCCAGCATCCCTGGTAACTGTATTTAAATCAGAAACATCATAATATGTTCTATAAGGATAAACGATATTAGTTTCATTTTAATCCCTCTGAGTAATCTCTCATTGATTTCGTTTCAATATTGACACGCAATTATTAATCCTTTGATAAATACATTCTATAAAACGAGATAATACTATGTACTACTACTACTACTACTACTACTACTACTACTACTACTACTACTTCTATTATTATTTTACTACTCTCTATTTATATTGTTCATGTTATATTTTCTTGCTTCACAAAGTCACAGTTTTTATGTTAATTATAAAGTACAATTTTTTTTTCATCTACAAGCCATAATATGAAATTGTTTCCTTATATAATTACTTTTTTAGTTCCAACCGATCACGAAAACGTAAGTTTATTTGAAGTTCAAATTATTAATGAGTTACATCTTCATTGAATATAGATTAATTGTGATTGTGTGAATATTAAGAGGTGTATTGGGATGAAAATATAATTGCAATAGCAAGGGTTGTTTGTATGTCTGTGGGGCTGTATCCGTCGCGCTGTCCGTCCGTTTATTCCTTTCCACGTCAGTGAAGGCTTGCTTGTGAACCGGCCCGGTCGCTATGGCGCGCGAGTACACTCGTCTTCACGATTTCTACTTACAGATGCACGATCTACAACCGCCGGCACCTCACTACTATACTTACGACTTTAAGTGAGTTTTTATATAGCATTTATATAAAGATTATTTATATACAATTTCTATAGTGATTCTTTGTGTTTGTCTCGGAATGTTCTGTTTTTTTTTGTCGTGTCCACTCCTGTTATGTTTTGTTTCTCACACACTTAAATAATTTAAATATTTAAATCACTTTAAAATGTACTCTTTTTGTTGGTTATATTGAGATAGCCTTTTTTGCTTCTATATTTATAATTGTATTACGTATTCTTATTTGAATTTTTAATTATATATATTTTTTTGTATATCAATATATTAAAGAATTTAATTTATTTAATATGTGAAGAATAATTTTTCAAATGCATTGACAATGCGTTTCCTCCTAGTACTAAACTTTTTCATAATATGTATAACGATGTATCAAATATAATTTTTCTATTTGAATATTTGATTCAAAAATTAAAAAAAAAACTGTTGATTTTTTTTTTTACTAAAACTTCAAGTATTCATATATTACTTTAGTAAATTTTAACTAGATGTAGTGTATAACAGTAATGCTTAATTTAATGAGTTACAATTATATTAAATCAATGTTTTTTACATAAAGAAATTTCCTCAGCATAATCTCAATATTTTTTCTAAATTTTTACTAATAGTATAAGAAAACTGATTATTTGTTATTTATTTTCACATATTATTCCATCTAAGATTAAAAATAATTTATCGACAAAATTAAAGAAAATAATACTTAATTATATATTCTTTGTCATATATATTGTTTATAATTGAAGGGAAATATTTTTAAACGGTCATCTTATTATTTACGTCTATTTTCTGCTAGTAATGTCTTTTTTGGATATTTAATTTTCAAAATATGTTTTTGGTTGTTGGATACAAAGTATATGAAAGATTCCATAGAGATCTGTAAGTCGAGATATTTCTATGATATACAATCGAATATCCAAAACTAGCGTTCTTGCGTCATACAAAAAGTTTTTTAGGCTTAACATTTACTAAAAAAAATATTGGATACAAACATATATAAAAATCCTATTACCTAAATTTTAATTAAAAGTATGACATCTCAAGATATTATTATAATTGACTTCATTGATTTAAGAGGAAAATCGTCAAATAAAAAAACAATTTTTAAGGGTTTTTTGTTTAAGTTAGAAAAAAAATTTTTTATAGTATACTATACTATACTACCATACTTATTCGGCGATATAAAATATGTTCAACTAAGCAACTTATTATGTTACTTAACAGAAATTGAGTATATTCTTCCACACGTAGTATCGTTGTGTAGATAGATCTACATATACTATACTATAATAATTCTGATAAATTTATCCTTTGGAAGATACGTATATATATGGACAGAAAAAAAAAATTTTATATGCTCAATGTATCGTCTAAAGTTAAATATAGTTATAATACGCCTGATAGAGAAATGATTTGACAACAATGTAATAGTAGCAGTGTTTTTGAAAGGCTATTAGGGAGATGAAGGCTTGCAGGCAGCTCTCAACAGGTGGCATAGTGAGCTTGTCATCTGTACGTAAACTAAACTGAGGAGCATAATAAGTCAAACGCAGCCTTACTTACATAGCATCTTATGACACTGAAACTTCCGGCTTTGTAAAATTCAATTTTAATACAGGATGTTAATCACACGACACATACAGGGTGTTAAAACAATTTTATATTGTATCCATTAATAGTAAAACATTTTCAGTACCCTTTCAATGTTCATTAACTAGTCATCTGTCACCCGATGCTAGTAATAGAACTAAATATGCTTAAAATATATTAAACATCCAGTTAGTCGTTGTGTTAGCCGATTGGATTTGTGAGGAGTTAGGGATTAAACTCTCGGTGTTCTGACGCGATTTTCACGGTGCTTCCATTAAGGTTTTTAGGAATTTTTATCTATAAAATAGTTTTTAGTAGTAGTTGTATGAGACCAATATTAAATCTATTTTATGTTTGCTCTCATTATAGTTATTTAATCACACCTTCCTATTGTCCAGACTTACCTACCTATTCGTTAAGTTCACTTGACAATCCCTTCTAGATTTATTCCTTTCATTAAGACTATTTATTTTCATACTTAATAATTTTGGGTCTGTCTAGAAGTTACACCAATTAATTATTGAAACGTGCGTCGAAGGCAGCCCTAGTAGGTTCTTTTAAAATTTGGTAAGGTAGAGAGGAGCATTGACGGTTGAGGTGAGCGTTTAACGCGCGTTAGATAGGAGCCCCTTAAACCTACACCTGGGTCACAAGTCACAGTCACTGTTGAAGCTCCTCTCCCTGTAACGATGGACCCGACACCCGCTCCGTGAATACATGGAATGATGAAAGGTTTTGTCTCTAAGACATAGTATATGTCTATGAAAGTGTAACCTCAAGTTTATAATGGTCGAAACTTGAAATCTTTATTTCCTTGAACTCAACACATAAAGCTAAATTGTTTTAAGATTTTAGTACTGCTATGAAAATTCCTAGCGGTCATATTATTATCTGAATGATCGATATTAAATATATTAAATTTAGAGAATTAGTTTGTTGATTCCTTTGATTTAGAAAAAAATTAACATTAATGCGCTATGTTTAGGTGAATTGAATATATAGTCAAAGATTATTCACCTTTCTTCGGTTTAATAGTCTTTATTTAATTTGAATAGTTTAAATATTTGTAAGTTATATTATATCAAACATTCTTTTTTTAACTCAAATTAACTCACTTCGATGTAAAATTCTAAAAGTATTTTAAGTTAAAATTGCAGAAAGCAATGAGTTTTAATAACCTGTCGATATTTGTTATATCAATTTTAATATAACTCGCAGTTCCTAGTACTAATTGAATAACCCGACGATCCAATAACATCGGTTTTTTTAAAGGAAACTTAAAGAGGAATCTTTAATAATGAAAAATCTCACCCACTGTCTGACTATAGATTATTATTTTTTTAAGCTTATCAAGCTTTATTAAGAAAATTGATTATTAATTCATGCTTTAGCGTTCTTTATAAGGATTTGTAAAAGAATTTCGTTTCATTATTTTTATATTATTGTTTTGAATGCGTTATTTGTATCACTAATCTCATTATCTAATCCTAGGACGATCAGTCGTAAGGCATCTCATCAATGCCACTGAAAACTCAAACAGCCTTCTAGTTTGTCTAAAATACCCTGTTGAAGAATAATCTTCCAAAGTAACACAGTATTATGTCTCCTCACATGCATATATACTAAAACGAGTTAATTTTTATTTCAATCCTCCCTTGTAACAAGAATTCCAAGTTAATTTTCAAACCATAGTGCAGTCTGGTGATAAATTAATCTACAAATTCTTGTTCATTCATCGGCTTCAACTCTTAATTCCGATTAAAAATATTAAATTAACATGTTAGCTTATTCAGCGATTCTTTTAAGCCATAGTTATTGTAAAAATCTATGTATAAAAGAAAGTTGTGTTAGTTACACTATTTATAACTCAAGAACGGCTGTACGGATTTGGCCGAATATTGGTGGAGAGATAGCTATGAACATACGTAGAAAGGACATAGGATACTTTTGAAATCATTCAATTCGTTCTAAATCTAGTTCCTAATATACGAAAGTTATTAATAATTGTGTTCCAAGAATATTATATAAAACAGCTTTTTAAATATAAATACATTTACATACTATTCAAATGCATTTAAGTACTCGACGCTTTTGCATATATTTTTAGCTGTAATGGTCTATATTGTATACATCTAAATCGTTTAAAATTTGTTCACAATTTTATTATCTATACATTTATGATAATCACAAAGGTCCTTTGATATAAAATTCATTCTGTAAGCGTCGTGGACACATATTTTTTGTCGTAATCGTGTCGTATCTGATATTGTGATCGTAAAAATTGAATCAAAAAAAGTCAGTGTAGCAAAGGGACGTTTAATAGAAAAAATAAAAACTGCATTCCCAAAACCGACGGGCGTGTGGATGTTTTAATCAGCATATTTGAATTTAAATTCAAACACCTCAATATACACGCTGCAAACATACATAGTTTGTTAAATATTTAAACCTTACCGAAACATGTTATACGAAAACTGTTGGATCATAAAAACTAATTGTGGTTTAAAAAAATGAAAAAAGATTTAAAAATTTAAACGAACTTCCTTTCAATGAAAAATAAAAAAAATTGTTAATTAATTAAGGGATCATATAAAAAGAGTATAATCTTTACCTACGTCACAAAATGCCCTAAAAACTTATTTTTCCCTGTTACCCACTACCCATAGTAAAACAAATCAGTCTTAATATTAAATAACTTTAGAAACATTTCCATTCAGAACAATGATTATCAAAATAATCTGTACACATACAGAGACGCTGAACACTTCGTAACAAGTTAAATAGATCCTTGACATCAAACTCCTTAAATGGAAATATTTTAATAGAATAATTTTCATCTTACTTTATAATTGATTGTCATTGACACTAGATTCATTACATCGTTCAGTATTTTATTAATAACAATTAAATAATAGTTCTGTCATCTCATTTAGAAAATTCAAAATGATTTTTCCATTAAACAAATGATTTTATTTATTTATTTTTTCCTGCCCTGATCCCACTTTATATAGGGTCGATACAACATATTCTTTTCTTCCACAGAACATGTTGTAAATAGTTTTGGCTAATTGTTTTAACCACCGACCGCCTGTCTGATATCAACCCTCTTTTTGGGAATGCATTAGTGATGTCTAAATACACTTAGAAAGTACATATGACTCGGAAAAATTACAAAAAACAAAGTATTTTATATTGAGAAAATACATCAATTTACAGATCATTGAATTTAGAAAGGCTTGCGTATTTCGGTAACGATGCAGCGTTCTAAAGCTGTTACAAGAAATGTTGCATGGCTGATAAGCGATATCAGTGACTTACAATACAACAGTGTGTAACAGAATTGTTTTTAAACAACACCAATTATGTAGCTAACGATTTACCTGTGTTTTTTTCATGATTTT